TTATAATGAAATAGGACCTACATAGCATAAAGAACGTACAAACTAGATACGAGCAAAAAACAGGTCTTCCGGAGAATAACCGCGCAGTCTCGGGAATTCCCGCAGCTGCTAACGTCTACGTCCCATATCTAAGTAGTTTGTAATTTATACAATTGAGGTAAGGTTCATTATCCTATGTACAATTTCGTTACAATAATCAGCTTCCATTCCGTTCCACTGTAATGTAAATTGAGCCTTATTAGGCGAATTCTCACTAAGCGTTCGTGTAATGAGTTATACAAAAAAAACAAAACATTATCGGTTCGCGTATTGAACCCGGAAATAATTCGCGTAATGGGTTATACAAAAATCTTCGAAAATGTTTTACTTTCGGTTCGTGTATTGAACCCGGAAAGAATACTTCCGTTATCGTTTTTAGAACGAATTTAATCCCCGAACGATTCGCATCAAAGCAACCGATGAGTACATTGTCAACAGCGTTACCAAAATCTAAGACATATCGTGTTGGTGTGTCCCGACCTATAATTACCTACTATGAAGAACGGATGGATTATAATACATATAGCGGCCGTATGACTATTCTCTTACAAGAAGCAGTAGACAGTATTGTAGGGAGCAAATGTATAAAGAAACATATTGTCTAATTTATACGTATAGAGCCTTCCGAAACTTTTTATGATACAAAGTCATTGACTTACAATAAAGTTTTTTCAATTAGATCCAAGAACGTATGATCTTGAAAAGAATCTCACAACAAAGTGATCCCGCAAACGACAATTATTTTATTCAAGTACACATAACGCTTGTGTTTGGGTTTATAGGAATAGAACAAGACCTAAGAGGCTTGTGTAAACGATCCACAAGCTTTTACTAAATAACATCCCACTAACAAAAGGGAGGATCGAATTGTGTCACAAATTTGCTCAGTAAATTTACCAGTTTTGTTAAATGTATATATTACAGGTGTATTGCAGGAATTTGAGCAAAATTAATGATTATTGAAGAAAACGTCGCGCACACTGGATTAAACGTACACAGAGTGCTATTTTACGTCATGAATTTAGTACGCGTTAATTATAAAAGCTATATAGCTAATATGGGCTACATTGTGACTATGTAATTGTTAAACGTTTAATATTAAACGCTAGACTACAGTATGCAGTGGTAGTAGTCTTCCCGTTGCGATTGTTGGCTAGTATACTGATTTTTAAATGGAATGTTTTTGACCACAACATAGCCCTAGAGCAATAATAGTCTCTACAATGAAAAGAGCCCAGAAGATGTCTATTCAATCGCAACTTAACGATATTCCTGTTGTAAATGCTCGGAAACACAGAAGCAGGCGGAGTATTCCATAATAAAGGATGATGTAAAAAGAGCTTAGTAATAAGATCATAATGTCTACAGCGAGTGTTGATACTTTATAAATAATAATAATAACGCACACACTCAACATCCCGCACTAGGGAAACCCTGTGTCGCATATGTGCCACAGACACAGATATAGAAAATCACAAATTACACCCAGACTCACGAGAGAAATAGATGTAGGCCATACAAATATTTTTACCGGCCCGGGAATCGAACCTGGGACCTCTGTGCGGCAGTCCGGCACGGTAACCGTTCGGCCACGGAGGCAGTTTAATTTATTTCAACATAACGTTGATCAGGTTTGACTATCCTTGGTTGACCTTAACATCAGTGGATGCTGATGCGGATGCAAATTTTATTTACTTAAATAAAAACGCGAAAAAGTTACACGCTTACTGAATCTATGTACGTGAAAATTTTTTCTATTTTCTTTGGTATTATAATGAATATTATTTCCATATTATTCCAATTGTTTTATGACATATATTAACAAACGAATTAATGAAAACAATCCATTTTCCTGACTTAGCCGTTGTGGAATTTTATCCAAGTTATATTTTAAAAGCAACATTCCTCCGTGTGAAATAGTTCGTCCAGGGAAGTACTGTCACCTTACCTATTTCTGCCGCCAACAGTAATGTCAGCATTACTGTGTTCCGGTTTTGAAGAATAAGGGTGCTGGTGAAATAACAGGCACACATGGAACTTGTCAACCTATGTCTCAGGGTGACGGGCACAGTGGCAGCGCCCCTCAGATCTTTGCGATTTTTAAAGTTTCGAGTTGCACTGCAATTGTTAGAGCCGTTTTCCACTAAGCAACTACTCGCGAGTGACCGCAGCCGCAGCGGCTGCGGCTAGTTGCAATAGCGACTGCGTGCGCAACTGTATTCTACGAACAGCTCATTTGAACAGAAAAGAACTTACTAATTCAGCCATGTGTGAGCATTGTAATACTGATGAAATCACTCTCGAACGCTTACTTTTACATTGCCCTGCCTTTAGGGTACACTGAAGGCAAAAAAAAAGGTCTGACTTTTCGAGTACTCTTACCTTAGTTGGTCTCATAGAGACTATTGATCCTTACCAGAGACCGGATCGAATGGCATAAAAAAAGTTTGTAAAAATTGCCTTTTATCTTGCTGACTGTACCATTTTTTCAAAATCTGTAAATGCCAATCAAAATGTCTTCAAAATTCATGGATAGTCTTCTTAACCCTTTTCCTGTAACTACAAGGATTAAGGTAGCTGGCCTTGCTGCCCCGTCTCAAATTTACACCCTGTGTGTGCATTCATGCTTGCTACCATTGAAGAGACATAAATACCTTCAAATACCTGAAATATATTCAAAGAAGAAAGTCCCCTACACACAGTGTTTACAAAGATACAGACGAAATGTCATTTTATTTCTTTGAAAAGTATTCTACCAAGTACCAAATCATTACGGTGACAACTGCGCTCCGATTGGTCAGCCCGAATTCGAAACAATTGACGGATGTCGTCAATTGTTTCACTTCAAATCGACCAGTTTGACTTGAGCTTTTCTATAATGGACCAACGTGTATTCCCAATCTCGTAATCATTTAACAAACATACGCATACGCCAAAAGAGATAGCATTACATTGGTCTGGAAAATACGTAACGTCATCTTAAATGCCAACCGTGTCCATTTCGCAGTACATGAGGTACATGATACGGTTGTCAAAGGGAAGTGCATCAAATGTCAAAACAAACGTTTTTCCAAATGTTTTATTGAATTATTCGCATGTATTGTTATAAAATGGACAAAAATATTGACAGAGAACAATTAAGTATTAATAAAAATTCGTCGCTGCAGCATTACGGGATGTGGCATTTTAAAAAGCGAAGATCGACCGAATGCGACATTGTACATGCACGTGTTATTTTTCTGTCTATAAATCATAAAAAAGTCCAAATATCTCAAGTAATTAGATATATTTAAGTAGTTTATTCATAAATCGTGCGAAATTTTGCTTTGGTTTCTTCAGATTGCCTGTTTGTTTGAATATTTTGATGATTGTCGTTAACGATTATTTTGAGATAGTGTTGTTCTTGGAAGCGTAAATATTATCAATATTCTATTATTAAAATCTTTCACGAACGAAGTTTTTATTATTTTATGATTATTATTTTTAATATTTCAAGTTTACGTACAAATCAAAACAGAAAATAGAATGGTTGGAAATCTTACATTGAAATGAAGACCATCTTCATTTATTCGCTTCATTTTGAAGAGTCAAATTTTAACATAACTTTGAACGTAACTAGATTACATGATAATGCAACCCCATCATTAGGTTTATTGGTAAATAATTTTATATTTAATTTAGATTAAGCACGACTCATTTACTAGGCATTCTCAGTTCTTGAAAACAAAATTATCCACTCGTTTCCGATTTTTTCCCACTAACACCTCTAACTACTAAAATTTTTATTTTGTAAAGCCAGCAACACAATGACCATGTTGGTCTAACGTTGTCGGGTGAAGGCCAATAGCAACGTATAGACAGCCTATTTGCCTTGTCTTACCTTGCCATTGTTCGGTGTCACTCGCCTAGCTGACCGAGTGAAGGCGAGCGCTAACGTGTATAGAGCTCGTTTGACGTGGCTTGTCACAACTCGCAGTCGCTCTACTTGTCTCACTTCGGAGAAGTGTCGATTTTTCTGCACAAATCGCTTGGCCAATAGTAGTTAATTGACATCGTATAATCAGAAATTTGCACGCTATTTAATATACGCGAAACATATTTATACTAACACTGTCTCTTGTTCACATCTCCTGTTATACCATGTTTTGAGCAAATAAACGTATGATAATAATATTATTATTGATAATATTACTACTTTCATTTATTTCCAAAATTAAATAGAAATATTAAAGATTCACTTAAATCAGTCACTAATATTAATTCTATACTAATGCATAAATACAAAAAAGTTTGTTGTTGTTGTTTAAAAATTTCTCTATGAAAATAAGAATCTTGAGGTTGTAAATGTGTAGGATTTATATTTTAAAGTTTTCCTTTTTTTATATACTCTCTAATTACAAATATTATTTTTTTCTGTGCAAATTCACTTTTCGTAATATTTGAGTATTTGTAAACACAAAACAATAAATTCAAAATTTCATGTGACATTCCCGGATATTCTCATAATAATCTAAAATATTCCCAAATGGAATATTGATCTATATTAATTAAATGTTTGCATGTCGATAATGACTTATCGATAGATTATGGTACGACACTAAAGAAATCCGCCATTTGTTCGTACAATTTTTGTTTAGGTATGCACGTTCATTCCGTAGATAAGGCAGCTCGTTGCTTTATTTTTTTTTCCATAGTCATCTAATATACATCTGTCATTACCAAAGAGAACTTAACAATTACAATCAAAACTATACAAAGCAAAAAATATATAACATATTACTTCAATCGAATAAAAAAGAACCTTCAAAAAGTAGTGAATTACTTTTTGAATACAAAAAAAAGTAATATTATTTTTCTAAACTGACACCGGCACAAGTCCTAGTGACCGCCATGAAGGAAATAATAATATTTAAATGTATATAAACAACAAACTGATTTAAATATTGTATTGTTTTAGTACCAAAAGACGCTAAATATGTATAAAAACAATAAAGAAAAGAAAAAGGCGACGGTAAGCTTTACAAACAATAACGTTAAAACATTATTCTATTATTGATATAAAGATCACTCTCATCAACTGAGCTACAGATGGACTCAATTTGTAGCTTAGTTGGCAAGAGCTACAGCACGGGTGTGGCAGCAATGGTGGTTCGAATCCAGACAGGTCAAAGAAATTTTTCTTTGTTGTTCGATCTTTGTATCAATAATAAATAACAAGACGAGTATTTGGTTCGACTGTGCGAAAGGGGGCCCTATGGAAACTGGAGATCTACTCTCTTTCTTGAAAACGAAACTTCGTTAACGAACGACTTAAACAAAATTTCGTCAAAATCCTTACTATAATTCCTTTCGTTTTCGATGTCAATTACAATTTTCGTGAACGAATGGAATCAATGATATTGTGCAGGTCTTTTTTTATGACAACTACCGTAAATTACGGTTTTTAGTTTATCTTTAATGAATACTGTTTTGCTTTATTCTCAAATTTTACATTTAATATGTGGTTCATTAAGCATTTCTTGTAATATTCGTGCAGAAAATATAAAGAAACAAAAATATTTTTTGACGTATTTAGCCGAGACGCAATAAAATACTCATTGTTATCCGATTTGTTTGAAGAATACCACTTTATGCAAACTATAGGTGACAAAAGTATAACAACCAAAAATTTCAGTATATTAGAAGCTATTCTACTATTATATTGTATTCTTTGTAAACTTATGTACATTTGAAACCCTTGGCAAAATTTTTCGTAAACATTATCTCCTATAACAAGCAAAAATATAATGCAGTAAATTGAATTTATTTAATCAAGTCGCATAATCTATATTTTCTTGAGAGGAACTTTATTTTGTACATGTTTTCCGAAATTTACACTACAAGCATGAATCAATAAAGCTCCCCGTACACGATCAAATAATTTGTCAAATTTATCCTTAGTTTGTAACATACAATGCCATCTATTGCTACACATATTTGTCAAAGTTTTGTAAGTAATTTTAGCTCGTCAATATTTGAATAATATTACAAGAAAAAAACTTACTACTTAGGATTGCATATTATTTTGTTTAATAACGCTTCTTTTTTTGTATGCAGTACGTTCGTATGTAGCTACTGTCCATGAACAGTTTAAAAGGACGTCAAACCTTAAACTACATAGCGATAGCTTCGAGTTCTAAAATTACCAGGTCTAAAAAAATATTTATGGTTTCAGGTCAAATCGCAATCGTCGTTACAGTCGACTAAAACTGGGATGCGTGAGACTTATTCTCCTTTGGATGGCCTCTTTGTGTGCATCCACAGCCTCCGGCTCAGTGACGACGACAAAAGAAACTATCACATCAAGGTATTTGCCTAACAAGTAGGAGACCAGCGCAAACCGGCGGACTGAAAAGGCAGAGGATATTTAAATTTACCTATTACGCTATAGCAATTGAAATAAGTTATAAATTTCAATGTCCTGAGTCTGAGGCCGACCTCGGAGCATACTGCAGCGAGACACGCGGCATGCAACGGAATTCTCTCGTATACGCGATAATCCTCCGCTGTGCCCCGGAAACTGTCCGAATGAGTCGAGGTTCTCTCGACTGTCTAGTTGCTAGTGGAACATAATTACATACGGGCGATCGGTGACACGTCGGCGGATGCCTCGGCATTCCGGCGGACTCTGCGGTACGCTAGCGGACGCTCACGGGTGGGCATAAAACTCTCCTTCGGCAATTAAAACAAAGGATATCAACGAACATGCATGTATCTGTTACCGTCAATTCAAACCACGAGGAACTCTCCTAACCACATCATTTAAGTATTGTCGATCATTTCAATTTCAGCTGAAAGATGGTGAAGTTTCTATTTATTGTATGTAAATTCAACTGCCTCTGTGGCTGAAAGGTTACCATGCTGGACTGCCACACAGAGGTCTCGGGTTCGATTCCCGTGAAGTTTCTATTTATTGTATGTAAATTCAACTGCCTCTGTGGCTAAAAGGTAATGCTGGACTGCCACACAGAGGTCTCGGGTTCGATCCCCAGATCGGGACAAATATTTATATGTCCTACATTTATTTCTCTCGTGAGTTTGTGTCTATGTGTGTGTTCATGACACCCGCGACACAGGGTTTTCCTAGTGCGGGGCTATGAGTGTTAAAAAAATCTACTTAAAGTCAAACGGGCCCTTAGGAAAACTGGTTACCACGGCTCATAAATGTTGTTTATATCACGCACATTTGATTTGACTCTTCTACTTGCGATTGCTCTCCTTCTCCTTTAAATTTTCGAATAAAAAGCAGAAATAGTTAAGCCTGTAGTATTTACTACCATATAAAAAAAACTACCATGGTTAATAATAGGGGTTAAAGTATGAAATTGCCGATTTGTACTGAAAATCTAAATTGTTTATTTTTTAAATATTTAACAAATTTATTTAATCAAAATAGTTGCCATTATTATCTATACATTGCTGCCATCTAATGGGAAGGTTATTAATGCCTTTGCGATAGAACTCCGACGATCTAGACTGCACAAACTGTGTGAAAGCATTTTGTACTGCCTCCTGGGAAGAAAACTTCTTGTCACGTAGATAATTGTCCAAATCACGAAAAAAATGGTAGTCCGTTGGAGCAAGGTCTGGTGAATACGGAGGATGACGAATGGTTTCTAACTGCAGTTCCTGAAGGGTCAAAATGGTTTCTCGTGCTGTGTGAGGTCTCGCGTTGTCGTGGAGCAATAATGGTGAAGATCGATTCATGAGTCGAGGCTGTTTTACTGCTAGTTTTGTCAACATGGTTCGGAGTTCGGCACAATAGACATCTGCCGTTATTGCTTGACCAGATCGGAGAAAACTATAGTGAATAACACCATGCTGAGACCACCAAACAGTTACCATTACCTTTTTATTGGTAAGTTTTGCTTTAGGACACTGTTGTGGCATTTGACCTGGGGTCAGCCATTGCATTTTTCTTTTCCGGTTATCATAAAGAATCCACTTTTCATCACATGTTACAATTCGATCCAATATTCCTTCATTTCTGTACCGGTTCAACAAGGCAACACAAGTTTCAACACGCGTTTCTTTCTGCAGATCAGTCAAATCATGAGACACCCATTTTTCGTATTTTTTATTTTATTGATTTGACGCAAGTGAGTCAATATTGTGGGTAAGGTAACGTTAAACCATGCCGCTAATTCCTGGGTAGTTTGACTAGGATCGGCTTCCACTATCTCTCTTAATTCATCGTTATTCACCTGTGTGGGCGGTCTTCCTCGTGACTCGTTCTTTAAGTCGAAATTTCCATCACGAAAGCGTTTAAACCAAAATCGCACGGTGCGTTCATTAGTAGATCCCTCTCCAAACGCAGCATTGATATTGCGGGCTGTTTCTGCCGCGTTAGTTCCGCGTCGGAACTCGTTTTCAATTCAAATCACTCGAATTTTCGCAGTATCCATCTTTCTCGTCTAAATTGAATAACAAAAACAATTGAAAGTCGATATTCAAATGTTTCAAATTTAAAAAAAAAAATCACAGAAACCATTTGAAAAAAGTTTCATTCGAAAACCTCAAACCATGAAGATTCTATGAAAATTCAAAGAACCTATTGCAATAAAACGGCAATTTCATACTTTAACCCCTAATATTAAAACAGTAAATAATTATATACCATCGTAACTTGATCTCATACCCAGGAATTCTTTGTATACTATTATGACGAAATAAACTACAACAGTAACCTATTAATGAGCACTTTCTCTTTCGTAAGATGTATTATTTATGGATCTGTTGACATTTTTTTGGCAAACCGAAGAGACCCAATTTAAAACAAATTCGTCACTAAATTGGTTCAATCATCAGTGTTTACGTTGCCTTAGGCTAAAAAAATTTGATCTATTATAAAAGTGCTTATAAAGGATTTCTTCATTTTTGGGCCCATTTGTCTACCGTGGTAAAACTTACGCCTAAAAGTTTTCTAGAATCGTATACTTTTACGTATATTATTTGAAATCTTGTTAATTTTAATAGAAATTGCTGAAAAACGTATTTTAAATCATGAATATAAGAGATGTCGTGATTTGACAAAACCGCCACTAAAGTTGAATTATTAATTTGACATTTTACCTAAAATTGTATTGGAAGTATAGTCTGTCTTTTTTGAAGATGTAAATTTAGTAGCAGTAGAGCTCCTTGTGACAGAGTTCGTCCAGGGTAGTACTGCCACTTTACCTATTTCTGCCACCAAGCAGTAATGTCAGCAACACAGAGTTCCGGTCTTGAAGGGTAAGGGTGCTGGTGAAATTATGTGCCTACATGGGACTTGTCAACTTATGTTTCAGGGTGACGGGCGCAGTGGTAGTGCCCCTCATATCTTTGCAATTTATAGCTCTGAGTGGCACTATAACTGTTATGGACAGGCGTGTAGCTTACCCTCAGGCGCACGACTTGTTCGTCCCGTCACTACGATATAATAAAAAAAAGAGTAAAATAACATTGCGCAAAAGTGTTGCCCGCTGCTATTGATTGCAGTCGATAAATATTATTTCGACTATCGACGAAATGTTGGTTACGCTTATATATATAAATAGCCGAACTTGTTTCATCCGAATCATCATCTGCCCATTATCCGTCTAACTACCGGACACAGGTTCATTTGAATTGATAATTTCTGAAAATACATACGTACGTACACTAAATTTAGCAGTCTAGGTATAAAAATACAAATAGAAGACATATTTTAATTTTAATTTAATATACATAATAAAATCCGCCTGTCGTTATTAATCACCAAAAATTAGTATTTAAAAAAAAAATTATTAGTAGGCAGTTTAAGTTCCAATACTGATAGACCAACTGTCAAAATAAGAATAAAGAATACAACAACGCAATTAGTAATCATTAGAACGTCGTAACATTCAAGAATTCAGACATTTTTGGCAAAGTTTTACATACTTTCACAATCTATCGATAAAATTGTCGACAAGAACTATAAGACTATTAAAAATTTTACAAAAACTGACAAATGTCATTTTCATCATTTCATGTCCATCTTCAAAAAATACCTAATATAGTAATCAAATAAACCTTTTTTTGATTGTACTATTTAACAAAATATCTTGGACGCAGCTTGACGTGTCCACAACGGCGATGCCGATGTGGCGTTTTGTTTGTTTTATTAAGTTTTCACTCATTTACTTGGGTAGGCAAAGCTTCTATCAGATAGCCTTTTCATATTATTAGTATCTTTTCGTGACATTTAAATAGCGTGTAACAGCTTGGGACATAGTATTTTAGCCTACATAGGTATATATTTTATTAATATAATGATGAGCTCGTAATGAGTATTTTATAAAAGAATTGATAACCAGGATAAGACGGTTAGATTTACTTTTAAATAATTCCGATAACAGAATACCTACCATTTGAAGCACAGACATAGACTTCGGGCCCATGTTGTATGGAAGAAAACATTGATCCTTTATTCATTAATTTCACTACAATAAAACCCATTATATTTTAACAATCAGTGTAAGTAACAAATGTTGTAACCACTTTCCTTTTAAATTGAGCCACACAATAATATTATGTTGGCATCTTACAAAATTAATAAACAATTTTTGTATCAAGTGTGGCTTATAAATATAACATTTTGTTCCCATCCAGGTAACTTTCTTCGATAACGTGATTCTTTCTGGACTAATCAAGCCCATCAGCCCGAAGGACCAGGAAAAGAAAGTCGTCACTATCGCCAAAGGTGTCATGAGCTATGATCCGTCCGATTACGAAAAGATGTGCCTCTTTGCTAGCGCTCCTTTAGTTGGTGGGTATGAGCTTTTACCCACGAAAAGTATTAGTAGCCATTAAATGTAGGTATTTGTAGCAGCAGCGAGTAGATATTTTGCAACTATGTCGATGTTGCATAACGTTTACCCAACAGGGGCCGACGGATGCAACAGGAACGCGCGCTTTTGCGGCTGCTTCACGTGTTTTAGATAGCATAAGCGAAGGTTACCTGAAGATACAGCCACGTGTAACACTGTTTATACACGTGATGAAATTCGAACATTTACATGTTAAAGCGCTATCGCCATAGTTGTCAGTTCGCTGTAAAAACAACTCTATCACGTCTCTTGTATTTAATGTCCCTTAAATATACGACTTCAATATCCAAAATTGTAAAAGTATGTAAATATTACTTGAATTTGCTTCTATTGTCGGGAAAGCACAATCGACTAACTTGATCTGTTAACAGCGAGAGTAATGGTGTCACGTGGGAGTCACCACACTTATTAACTCGGCTTGAGTCTTCTTTCTTTTTATAAAATCAACAACAACGACGACGAACAAGTCGTGAGCCTGATGATAAGCTACACTGCAGTTGAGTCGGTTAGGAAAGGCTTTATGTCTATGCAATAATAGCGAAAAAGACTACTGTGTTTCATTTGCGCTGGGACCACTGCGCTGACGCGAACCGCACTACGTCTTTTAAGGTGTTTTTCCACCGGCGAGGCAAGACAAGGATTGAAATTTGTATGGCAAAATTTCAATTATCTCCTAGCGCATTTTTGGTGGAAGTGGCCTGGGTTAACGAGGATGGGTGAGGTGAGAATTGAAATTTTTATTGATGTAATATATTTATTGAACGGTATTACTGCCTACACAGAGTATTATACTCTGCAATGGATACACGATATCTCTATCAATCGCAAGATTTTGGGGTACGCACAATTTCAGGTTGAAAAAAAAGATGATTTCATCTGATGCTTCTTCCATTAACATATTTAATAATAATAATTTCCAGGGCATGTTACTTCAGCCGCGTGTTTATCAGTAGATGAACTAAGCAGCACTGAATCTCCACTGACTCCACAACCACAGAGCGAGTTCACGCGAGATATTAATGGCAATTTTTGGTGCAAATAGGCCGGCGAGATTTCCATTGTTGTCTTGCCTCATTTCGTCTGGCCTCGCCGGTGGAAAACCACCTCCACACTCTTATTGCGTCCATGTACGCAAACCTTTTTCTGACCAGCTCAAGCCAATTACGTGTCGATAAGTGCGGTGGGTCTCAGGATGAATTTGGACAAAACGAAAGTTATGTTCAACGCACATGTGACCCCAGGACTCATAACCGTAAATGGGGCTACTCTTGAGGCTGTGCGTAATCTCGTCTACCTAAGGCAAAATATCCAAGTCGGCAAGCTAACTTTGAGAAGGAAGCCAACAGAAGAATTCGTTTGGGCTGGGCGGCATTCATAAAGCTTAGCCACATCTTTGAGTCGGCAATCCACGAATCTAAAAATAAAAGTACTCACGTTTCCGTAAGAGATAGCCGGTAGAACTCATTGGTATCCAACCAAGACGTGGACATTATAACAACAAGCCACGTACATAAATTTAAAGTCAAGATGGAGGAGCTATGCTTGGTGTTTCTCTGACGGACCGAATTCCTAATGACGTCACAGAACTAAAATGACCAACATAGCTTGTGCAATCAGTAAGCTTAAATGGCAGCGGGCCGGACATGCCTGCAAAAGGGCTGATGGCCAATGGCGCAGACTTGTTCTAGATCTTTTATATAATTATTATTATGTCATCCAATAATCATTTTCAGTTACAATCGCTCCTCAGAGGGCTATCGAATCGAGAAGTCACTTATCACACAGTGCGGACACTGCCATGTCCTCCCAGATCTTGTCAACGAACTCCCTTTGGCATAAATCGTCTACGATAACGTCAACTGACATCTGTTGCTGCTTTGTGGACATCCTTCCATTATTTATTGGTAATATAATATTTATACATGGACGGTACCTTGAGTCACGGGACAAATTTTAAAATGAGACGCGGTTTCAGAGGCGTCCTCCTACTGAAGATTCGCTATTTTCGTGAGTACAATTACTCGGAAGTCCCGTGATCCAAGAAACATCTTGTCCTGTAGAAACAACTATAGCTGCATATATCTTGAGACCAATCTGATAGTTTAAGGAGTGCGTCAGGCATGCATTCGATCCGTATCATGAAAATATAGGTGTTTTGTCGGTTTAATTTCCAGCTGAGTCAATAAACTTTTTAAAAGGCTTGGAATGCAGTATTACTTGTTTTAAAAATGATAAACTACAATGTTATATCTATCTACAATATTTACAGTACTTTCCCTCCGTGTCCCAAAGCCGTGAGACGGCCTGTAGGTGATTCAGTCAATGTCTAGGTTAAGGGAAACATCCATTTAAAGTTATATTTATGGAGAATGCTTTGGATGTCCGTGGATTCTATATTTTCCTGCATTATATTGTTGTTTCAATTAGAGCAATTGACAAAGTATTTATATTTGAATTTCTTCTTAGTAAAATAATGAAGCAACATGTTGACTTAGTAGAGTAGAAATTCCCTAAATAAAGTGCGTATAATATTACCAAATAACTTTTTTCTTTTTCTTTTTAGATTTTCAGATTATAGTTGAGTAAATCGTGAGGGTATTTTACTTTGATATCCATTATTATATACAGATGAATGGACCAAACGCAAATCATACCGTAATAATATCTTATACCGTTTCTATAATAGTAGTTTTAATAAACCGGAAAACATCACACGTAGTTTTAGGTTAGCTAATAGAGCTCAAGAAGTGTTAACTTAAAAGCTTGTTTGATTCCCATATAAAAAAAAATCTAATCAACAAACAAATTCCGTTGATTTACGAGCAGAAATGTAGTTTTCGTGTGAACAACAGTTTGCCAGAATTTAAAATAAATCGTTGTTTGAACTGAAAGATACGTAACTATAATCTGTAAGCAGCCTAAAGCTTACACTTAATAAATCTATTTCATGCCAATCGCCATTTTTCCAGAGCAACGAAAAATGTTGTTTTCAACCTCATGTTTAAGAAATAAGAATATCCGAATTCATTACAGGCCACTAATAGTTACTACCCGACTCTTTCCAAAATATTGAAAAGGGTCTAAATTGAAAACGCAGTGAAAAAAAACATAAAATTTTATACCAGTCTCAATTTGGATTTCGAAAAGTTTATACTCCAACAGTTCTTTGTCAATCAGTTCCATCGAGTATATAATCAGAAATAGAGACGAAATAAGGGCCATATATTCCTGGTAACACATTAGCGATATAGCTCTTATAAATATCAACTCTCGTTTGCACTGAAATATAGACAGGCCAACTACTGACCTGTGTGTACGTCTCCGTATATTCCAAAAAATATTCTGTATTTATTGCAATAAAGATAATATCTCTAACAATACCATGCTGTTCTATTCGGTGGTGCAGGAAAAACAGCAAAACATCTAAGTACAAAACAAACGGAATCACATTTCATCGGTAATTAAATATTAAATATGTAATTTTGCAATTGTCGTCCACTATAGCAAAGCTCAAGTTAACTGGTCGATTTGAAGTGAAACAGGTGACGACACCCGTCAATTGTTACGAACTCGGGCTAGCCAATCGGAGCGCAGTTATAGTTTTCAAACAAATCAAATGACATTTCGTCTCTATTTCTGGTTATATACTCGATGATCAGTTCAAAGGAATTTATATTTATATTGTTAACTGGCAACAACGCAAATGAAAAATAAATGTTAGAAGACTAAACGTAACAATATTTTATTTCTCTAGGAAGCGTTTCATAAACTGTATGATGGTGGCGTTCTGCTTACATTGTAGACTTTCGCTTTCAGACTTCTAGTACCAAACAGGCTTTAAAAAAAATCCCATAATATGCTACTTTCTCCAGTTTTCAATTTATAAATTTCAGTAATAGACAAGTACATAAGACTTCAATTTACATAGATACCTATTGTTGTTAAAATTTAACTACTTTAAAATTATTTAATTACTTGAAAATCAAATACAATACACCGAAAGAAACGGAATTACCGAGCACCAGTGACGGATTTCATCACACGGTCTTAGGGGGCGTCACAGAGCGCCGCCGCCTGCCGACTCCCGTGTCACCTCCAAAAAAAGCAATAAAATGGCTATTGTTTCCCAAAATGACTTATGTAGCACCTTTTGCAACCGAATCCGCCGAAGCCGATCAATAACGAAAAATATATTAAGTTATGATCACGCATCTACGACAAGGCGCCAGGGTATTGATTGCACCCGGGCGTTACATGAGCTAGCGACGGCACTGCCGATGGTGTCGGATCATGGAAAAATTTCCATTTCGAAAAAATAATATTAAAAAAAATATTTTTATTAAGGTTATACATACGTAGAAAACTATTTTTCTAATATTTTTCCTTTAATTTTCCACATTTGACGTTGACACCTGTCAAAAGTTGAAGTTACGGAACGAAAACGATGGAGCCATTATAAAGGTTTTTTCTCCATTGTAAAATCATTCTAAATCCCGTTTCTCTCTAAGTGACTTTTAGTTAAACAAGTATATTTTATAATTCATGCTAAATAAAACTTGTAAAGATATTTCTAAACGTAGAACACAATATGAGCTTTCGAAATTATATTTTTCCAATTTTTAAAATTGTTCAAATATTTCGGGCAAAAATTTCCACTATTTGAATTTTTTCGTAAAATTACCCAATAATAGATGCCGATAAATATACTCGAAAAACAAATCGCCAGTCGTGCTGTAAAAAGAACAAATAGTTTCTCAAGGCAACGGTACTGTCTCTTCTCTGTTCTGTTTCTTTTCTATGTTAACAAACTTGTACCTATATGTCAGCAATAAATCTAAACAATTTGCTAACGATACAACTCTTACATAATTAACTGTAAAAACAAAGACTTTTTAACACCGTTATTAACAAAGCTCCAACAGGTGTAATCTGTTGGATGGACATTAATGACTCTCGTAAAACTAAACTTATGGCATTTATATCATGTAACTCAAAACCCCCACCAATTAATTCATTACAATGTTGTCCAATATTAAATTTTCCTGGATTAACAATGCTTAAACACGATAATTGAACGTAACACAGAAGACAGATTATGAAACAATTTTTTTTTGAGCACTTCAAAAATACTTACTGCTTCTAAACCCTATCATGATTTCTCTACGTTTCATTCGGTTTTAAGGAGTCACCGCACTCGCAGAATCGGCTTGAGTCGGTCAGATTTTTTGTATTTAAGTACGTAATAAAAGTGTAAAAACTACGTTTCGTTTCTTCTAAGAAAGGTGGCGGCAGCTACGCGAAACGAAAACATGTTTTTCGCTCGTGTTGCATATGATACTTTTTCTGACCGGCTTAATATGATTCCGTGTTGATAAATGTAGTGACTCCCTTACATTACGAGGCATTTCCGTAGGTTTGGAAAGAGCGTTCAAGGTTCAAAGGAAGTATGTTCGGACGGAACTCAGGCGCGTAAATTGTTGATAGCTGCAAACCATTGTTCAAAAAGCTAAATATTATTGCCTTTGGGCAGCGCGTATGCATCAGGCATTTATTTATCAAACAACACACACACTCAACACTCACACTTATATTAACACACGTGGTGAAATCTTCCAAGCGCGAATTTGTGCTAAAATGGATCTTTTGTAACATCCTCGTTACAATTGTACTATAAATAAAAAAAATCTATGCTTCAACATTATTATTATACAAGTATTTTCAAATAATTTACTAAACGAAATTGAATTGTTTCAAGGACCAACTTTTATATCACAATTTTATTGACAAAATGACTTTTATAATAAGAAAATATATTTAAAATCTAGAATTATTGGGTACATTATGTAATATATTAAAATGAAATATGTCTTGTTCCATGAGGTCTATGTAGGTATGTAATATCTGTGCTCTAGTGAATAAACGCCTGTCGCGCAGTGGGCTAAGCAAGCACAGAATATATTGACGTAGCAGACATACAGAGTATGTATATCCGAGAATTATAGCGTCACCACGTATGTAAGATTTTGAAACATTGTAAAACCCCCACTGTCGCTTTGTTTACCTCTGACAAAATTAGCTATAACAACCTCATAATCCGTTATGAATTTGCCAGTTGTGAGTTGTCTATTACCAGTTTATTCGAAGTTAGTTGAGACCAGGGAATAGTGTCTTCGAGCGTATCTCGTATCTTCGAGAGATAAGTTTAAGGAAATAGACATTCTTACACTATCGTCTTTCTTTATGAAAAATAATGACGCACATAATAAAACGAGGAATAATAATCTCAGTACAGAATACTAAAAAAACCGACCTCAAAAGTACGTGGAATTACATATAATTACAAAGTTTTATTGAAATCGGTTACCGGAAAGTGTGCAAACCCGGATTCATCCCCTAGTTCGCCACTATACGGGACTTGACACAGGAGATAATATAAATCGGTTCTCACTACTCAAAGTATATTGGGATAGAAAAGCGCCTTGAGTTGGAGAATAGCAAAATCAACCATTAAAATAATTGCTCCTTATAATAAAATTTAGACGCTATTTATAAAAAAAACATACAGTCGAACTGAGAACCTCCTCCTTTCTTTGAAGTCGGTTAAAAATGAATCTTCATGTGTGAACAGCCACACTTAGAGGTGGATGATTTTCTTCAAAATTAAATGGGGCCACTGTGGAGGTACCCTCTTTCCAACAAAAAAAGAATAATCAAAATTCATTTAAGGGGCAATGTATACGCTTCTATAACAAGATTATAAATATACACAAATTGCCATACACGAGGTTTAAAAGTATAGTGAAACAAAAACTTTATACTAAAGGTTATTATACAACTTCTGCGTACTTGGATGACAAAAGTCCGTGGTAGTAACCCGTTTAGCTCATGAAGGTAGTCTGATCTCTGATGTTTAAAAATAATATATATATATTGTAAATATTGAATGTGTACAAACGTTATTTACAAAGAGCAAACCCTAGAGTTTCTTGCTCATTCTTCTCAGAGGAATCTGCCTTATGAATGAGCGGTAGAGTTTAACCAATGTGATGATTTCAAGTATAATAATACTTACCTATGAAATAAAGATTATTTTGAATTTGAATTAGATTTTTTTAGTGGTTCTGCCGCAGTCGTCTACCGACATCAACATATATATGCTCTTGTTTTGCGTGGCACTAATTCCGTGATTTTCCTCCAGACACGGACAAGATATGTGTTAAAAAGCGCATGCAACCGATTCGAATGCCTCCATTGCTACTTCGCAAGAGCTGGGACAATCTGCCATTGCTGAAAATGGGCATTTCCATAGAAAGACACCCGGAGAACGCAAACCACCACTCTATATTACAACAAGCCAATCACATGAAAATAACTCTTATTGGAGCATATAACCTGTTAACCCCTTACGATAAAGACACTCAGTACACTGCAGCTACGAATTTTCCTTTATTTAATGAAACTGTAAGTTTTGTGTTTTTGTTTGTGTGTTTTAATTGTAATTGTAAAGTGGGATCAATTCTGGAACTTGTTTCTTGTGGCCGTAAGCCGAATAGGCAAGGCTAAGTATCGTGTTTTCAACATTGCGTTTGATATTTTAAATTGTTTGATTTTGGTACCGAAACAAAAATATCTATGCCGAAAGTCATAGCATAAATTTCGTAATATAGATAGATATCAGTGGATATTTGAATTACGTAAACAAATACAGAAGGTAAGCAGCAACATTAAAGTTGTAACACAAAAGATTTTCCGGTTAATGCCTACTACTAAGTTGAAGAATCAATATCTAGTTTTAGTAGCAATAGAGCTCCACGTGAAAGAGTTCGCCTAGGGGAGTACTGCCACCTAGTCTATTCTGCCGTCAAGCGTTCCGGTTTTGAAAAAAAAATTGCACTATTATAAAAGTGTTAAAGGACTCCTTTATTTGTGGATCGATTTATCTACTGAGCTAAAGCTTACGTCTAAAAATTTCTAGAATTATAGGGTATACGAGAGTACCCATTGAACAATTTTTTTTTAATTTTAATAGAAATTGCCTAAAAACGTAATTTAAACTATAAATATAAAGGATACTGTGTTCGACGAAACGTGTATTGTCGTGTCTTAGACTATTTTTTTCCATTCTATAAGGTCGTGATTGACATGATTTGACATTTTACCTCAAAATTGTATTGGAAGTATGGTTGACTTTTTTGAAAAGGGAGTATTAATAGAGCTCCTTGTGAAAGAATTCATCCAGGGAAGTACTGCCACCTTACCTATTTCTGCCGCCAAGCAGTAATGTCAGCATTACTTTGTTCCTGGTTGGAAGGGTAAGGGTGCTGTTGACATTACTGGCACATGGGATTTGTCAACATGTCTCAGGGTGACGGGCGCTGTGGCACTGCCGCTTACATCTTTACTGTTTAAAGCTCTGAGCGGCACTACAACTGTTATGGACAAGCGTGTCGCTTACCATCAAGCGCACGACTTGTTCGTCACGTCACTTGGTATTATTAAAAAAATAGTCGAGCAAAAACTATTATTATTAAACTTTTGCTTTACTATTATTTTATTGAAAGGAATTTCAGGCCATAGTCATCGTCAATTTGGAATATTTTCGATTTAAGTTAGTGACGCAGTAATTAGGTATATAAAAAATTAAGTAGTGTGTAATTTAAACGTTGTTCGTAGTACAATTAAATTTGTTTCACCAGCATACGACGGTGATGGAATTTAACCACGGTTACAACCCTCCCGAGGAATTCGATGAAATGAAATTCTATCCCTCGTGGGAAACTTTGCGGGCTGGACATAATACCATCTGCAAGTCTGATGACAAATTGGAGTACTCGCTCAGAGAAATCCAAAATGAGAGACATATTGACATCGCACATTATTTAGAACTTCAGCGGCTTAGCCAGAGTTAGTCAACCTACTATTTCTTTTCATTCTGTAGTTTAAATGTCAGAGATGCTATAGGTATACGAAATGAAATATAAGATAAAACTAAATACTTCACATTCAAGAGTTTTATCGACTTGTAGACGCGGTGATCTGGGGTTCTTTCTATCGAACTCTGTTAATGGACCAGGAAGATAAATGGCTACTCAAGCACCTGTGCCACTGGCGTTGGCCGCTCGAGCTGCACTTCGTCCGAGAGGACGCCGAGAGCTGCAGCTACATGGCTTTTATCAACTTATTCGATTTCCTCAATGCTGGAGGTGCACTCTGCTTAACCAATTACTTTCTTAAATAATGCCCCTTTGTTCAACTACAATTGGACGTAGTTAACAAAATGGCTCCAGTGCATATCCAGTCGCTTTCGGGATATGGCACTCCAGTGCACATCCAGTCGCTTTCAAGATATGGCAGTTTAAAAGTATTTCTCACTCTTGTTTTATTTTCTAAACTATTAATGTCATGTAACTCCAGAGATATTTATTTATGTTTATATGTTGGATTTTTTTTTGCTGATCTATGAGGTTAGACTTTAGGAACCGTTTGGTGCATATCGACTGTGAACTGGCAATTATCTCAATTTTGACACCTTTACAGTTGAAGATAAAAATTGTTTACGTCATTTATATAGCATCTGATTTATTTAAAAAAAACGTAGTTTTTGAATATTTTTATTACACATGTATGTGTGTACATTATGTTTTTTTTTTTAATAAACCAGATGCTTGTTAAATGATTTTTTCTTCATCCTGTAAAGATAGTACCGGTTGTCAGTACACGGTCGACAAAACAAATTGTTTGATAATTTTGTGGATTGGATCCTTTTTGCTTAACTACGTCCAATTAAAAAAAACTTGCTTAAATCGGTCATTATAAATAAAATACACATTTAACGTAAAAAATGTAAATATGTAATGTATATGCATATATACAGGGTTATTTGTAAAATAGTAACAACCTCCCAGGACTATGCCACTGACGTCATAACCAACAACGTTTGTTCTAAGACTTAATAATTCATCAGATTTTACTTTCGTACATAAATAAAAATATTTAAATAGATACAGATCTAAAATATTTCGTCGCCTTACTTTCTCAAACTCGTATCTTAAAGCACAAATTTACCGAAATGACGGCAAAAATGGATTGTATAGGCAAATTTTGCAGGCCGATTTCCCATCACATTTTCTTCATGTTCGCTCACTGGCTTTCATCCATTCTTAAAGTAATGTGTCTAAATTAACACCCTTGATAAGAAATTTAAAATGAATAGAAATGTTTGCCATCTCCTGAATAATCACTCTTTATAACATACGAGTTTCAGAAAATAAGGCGTCAAATTGTGTGATGAACATTGACTTACAATTATATGGACGTCGGGTCCGCGCTAAAAAGTGTTCGCACTTGTAAGGCGCTAAAATCGTATACAGAGCGCCAAACTCCGCTTTAGTCTTCATTTGTTTGACTGACAGCGCGATACTGCGATGACATTACAATTTAAATTTCGAATAGGTTGACTTGGGACATTTTTTTCGTGGTTTTTGTAAAAGTATCTATGTGAATAAATATATGTAGTGATAATATAGGTAGTTATGGTATATTTGTGTACGTATATACTGTTATTTTTGAATATAAGAAAAGTATTACACATTTCCGAATGTGTCATTTATAGTACGAGCTGCCGCGTCGTATATTTGTTTTCGTTTGTACTTTTTATTGACCGCATAGTGTTATTACACTTCTCCTATAGTTTAACCCACTAAAGCCCCATACATCAAATGTACATAAATTTTGAATTCTATATTATCTTAGAGCGGTTACACACGGTGACTTTAAAGCTCGATGCAGTCGCTAATTTATACTGGCGCGCGATTTTAAGCAGCGAAGCAAGGCATCGATACGAACGCGCGATTGCATCGCTACACTTGAGATTGCATCAATGTAGTCGCGCGTTTGCATCGATGCAATCGCCTACAAACCGCAAGTGTAGCGATGCAATCGCGCGTTTCACGAACGCACCTTTTACATCGCTGCTAAAAGTTGGCATGTGTTATAAAACTTTTAAAATATCTAGAAAAATACATTTTTCATACAAAACTGAGGGCATAGGGGCCTGAAGCATGTAATTATATTTATTCTATTATAATTTGAAGCATTCCTACATGCAATCGAACACTGACGGCTGTCCTTGACTTAAGCATGCCATCGCGCTGGCGCCTGGCCTCTCTTCAAGTCTTTGCCTCTTGTCGCCCCGCATAAGCGTATAGTCGCACTCGGCGTCAGGCATTCCGGAGGCTGCCGGCTCGGCATCCATAAGCACACCGCAGCTTTATTTTGCAAACTACGATCATAACACTACTACTTGGTACTTGGTACTTGGTGCAACGGGCTGGTGTTCGCAACTCGACGTCAAGGCGCCTATTTTGCGTGTGGCATAATACTACTAACTACTATAATGTCATGTATTACTAGTCGTCACCTAAAAATCCCTTGACGTCCAGTCTCGTCAAGTAAAGTTAGTCGGGCCTAAGCTTCAATTATTTAAGTTTCTCAATAAGTGAATTTGTAATTGTAATGAGAAATAAATATTCTTTAACCATAAACTCTTCGATTGCCTTGCAACAGTGGATAAAATCATTTGCGCGGTGCCACTTCAATTGCATGACTCTACGGTCATGATAGCGAACACAAACTATCCCTACCTCATCAATCCAGCTGAGAGGAGTGGTGATCATAAGAAGAAAAAACTAGGGTACGTTGTAGGAGATATTCCGTTGTAACTTAGTAAAGAGAAACGTCTCGAGAAATGCATACAGTGCAACAATTTTCTCAATATCCCTCGGCGATCTTCGGATTTGCGAATGCACTTGAATACAAATTTCCATGTCATAGTAATTTTTAGTTTTGTTTTCATTAGATTTCGTCTGTAGTAATTAGCATTAAGAATCATGTATTTCGTTGTTGTTTTATTTTATGTCCATGTGAATTTTATAGAACCATAAAACTATTTTCCTTTTTATAATAACATTTACTCCTAAACAACAAACCAAGCCAGTTTCCGAAAATATAGACAAAACAAAGAGTTGTAGGCGTGCGCCCACAAATACACGCACACACATCCACAAATGTGTTACACGAAAACACTTTCTTTTGGTGTTATAGCAATTAACCGTCAGCAGTTTAAGAGTTACAATAACGTTATCGGATCGGTATCTTCAGATCATTGACATTTAAAGCTTTAATTTGCTGTCGTGAAATAAGCATAAAAATTAGATCAAAGCAGGATAACCTAAATAAAAAATCTACCAGAATAAATCTACAAGAATGGATTTAATCTTTTTACCTTCATATTTCGGAAATTCGGCATCGGCTCGCACTATCTCTCACATCTGCATTTAAATTATCACTACAAATATATTATAATGTACGTACCATTTTATTTCGTGCTAGTCCCCAGACAGCATTTAAATATTTCATAGAATAAAATCTGTTCAAACGTATGCAGTGTTTTTTTTAAATAAAGTAAAAAAACATTATGCATGTATATTTTTTTACTTATTTTACATACTATCGTTTGACAGTGCGGACACGCCAGTGGAATTACCTTCAGTTGTTTTGATATTTGGGGGTTGATGTTGCTCGCTTCCGTAGGTTTACCCTTGAGACCCTACAAGTAACCCCTGGGTGGTGCTAAAGAGCAACAACTACCGGTGGTAGGCTTCGGCTGTGGCTGGTAACCACCCTCCCGACGCAGTCGAGTCGCCAAATGGTTTATCCGTGTTCCGGCTCGTGTTCGGGAGTTGCTATTAGGAGGTCGGGTCTGAACAGTTGCATTGCGTCCAACGACGAGTAGTAGCTGCTTGTACTGCCACACTGAGCACTCGGTTCAGGAGGCTAGCGGGATCTGAAGCACGGTGCACCGCTGGCCGACCGTGCGAAGTTGGGGGCCCAAGTAGCGGGAAAGCCACCCGTGAAAGGATGCCCCGCCACCCAATAAAAATCCCGGAATGCTACACCTTGCCGGTTGGCGACCGCAGGGGAGGACCAGGAGGCCATCTCCGAGGGGGTTCGGGCGTACCCGCGGTCTACAAACCGATTTTACCCTCGTGTGGCAGTGTGAGTTTGCTGCTTGGTTGGACGACGCAATGCCTCGTTCAACTGCCTTCCGCCTGCCTATTCGCTTCTCCAATTTAAAATTATGAGTCACAAAAAGGAATACATTTTTCACAGCGATTGCACGTCCTCCCATTAAAAGTGCACCTCACCAACATCAGAGAGCTACACTCAAATATCGAAGCAGTCCACCACCACCTGGAAACCGATAAACCGCAGCTGTTGTTCCTCATCGAGACGCAGATCAGTTGTCCGACTGATACGGCATACCTCAGCTACCCAGGGTACTACCCTGGCTACTCTGGAGCACAGGTTCCTACCTCGTGCCGGAGTATGTGTGTACGTTCGTCATGACATCGGTGTCAAGCGTCTCAACCTTGAGGCACCGAGTTTTTCTATTTTGTGGCTTCTGGTTGACACAGGAGTAGTATACTGCTGTGTCTACCGCTCGCTCAGTGGAGATCAAGAGACAACCAAGCTGTTCCAACATCTGAGCGAGACGTCTGATGAGGCTCAGCTCAGGTATCCAGCGGCCCAACTAGTCATTCTGGGGGACTTACCATCAAGAATGGTTGTTCCCATACCAGATGACCGATCATGCTGGGACGCGAAAACTTGCGTTATAGCTAAGCCTTTCCCAGCTTGTCAGTGGCGCCACAAGGATCCCAGATGTAGAGTCTCATACGGCTATTTGCTTGGACCTACTGCTAACGACTGACCCAGACCTATACTCGGTGGTTATGGATGCACCATTGGGTACCTCTGACTACAGTCTGGTGAAGGCTGTATCCTTATACTCCCCACCCGATCAGGGCCCAAGTGTAGAGATACTGGTTAGAAGATTGGGACGAAATGCGCCATATTTTTTTTGCGTCATATCCCTGGCAGGCTTGCTTTACTTCAGGAGATTCGTCGAGCTGTGCTGATGCTGTAGTTGAGGTCTTGCGATTGGGCATGGAGTATTATATACCATAATTCGATATACCCAGTGGACCCCAAGCTCGTCCATGGTTTAACGCTGACTGTAGTCGTACTGAAGCTCAAAAATAGTCTGCTTACCAAGCTTGGCCAGAAGCTCGACTATGCAAAACTCCGAATACTCGGAATCTGGAGAAAGCCTTTAATAAAGCCGCCAAGAACAGCAAATGTGTTGTACGCTGGGCCAAGTTCGACCATGTGTGCCGCATAGGGGACAAGCTTGCCTCTTTTCCAGCAGGCAGCAAGTTCTTTTGATCCCTGTCCAAAGCCACTCATTATCATTTCTGCTGAGGCCAGAAGGATCGCTGGCCCATACTGCGGAAGAGAAACCGAATCTCTTCGCCTCACTCTTTGCAGAAGTTCGCGTCTGAATACCGCAGGATACCTACCACCTTCTTTACCTCTGACTGGATGCACTATGGCGCCAGTTTGCATACGCCAAAAAGTGGTACTTAGAACTCTGCAAGGTCTAGACGTGCATAAAGCTAGCGGGCCAAATGAAATTCCAGCAATAGTCCTGCGTAACTATGCGCCTGAGTTGTCTCCTATTCTCACGTGCCTATATCGCCTATCGCTTGAGACTGGTGTATTTCCCAGGTCGTGGAAGCTTGCAAATGTGAAACCAGTGCCTAAAAAAGGAAGCAGAGCTGACCCTATCAACTATAGACCTATCTCAGTCACTTCGATACTCTGCAAGACTATGGAACGTGTACTTAACAACAGTCTCCTGTCATATCTTCAAGACAACGATCTGATCGCCAATACGGATTCGGAAGAGGCGATCTACTAGAGATCTTCTTGTGTATGCTCTTCTTATGGAGCGAGGCTATAGAAGAGCATGGCGAAGACATTGCAGTGTCTTTAGGCTTTTTTGTAAGGCCTTTGACAGGGTCTGGCATGCAAGTCTTTTAAGCAAGCTTCCCTCTTATGGGCTTTCCAATGACCTTTGCAATTGGATTTCGGATTATTTGAGTGAACGTTCGATTCAAGTGGTCTTAGAAGGCTACTCTTCCGAACATAGGGCGATAGATGCCTCGGTTCGAGTTCGGTTCGGGAGTTCGACTCGGAACTAGTAGAGGCGAAGCTGCAGAGCCTTGAACATCGCCGTAGAGTTGCCAGCTTATCGGTAGTCAATAGGATATACCACGGAGATTGTGCGATGGAACTGCATAATTTGATTCCGCCTTCCCCTTTCCATCGTCGTCGGGAGACTAGACGTGGGCGGGGGTTTATATTTCCCGGATTCGCACGATGCGTTTTGCTTCATTTTGTTCTTTTCTCCTTTTTTTTGCTCCTTGGATTCCCTGCCTGCAAACTTGTTCCCCGAACGCTATAACTTGAACCTTTTCAAGGCGAGAGTGAATAGGCATTATTTAGGTGTGCATGCTACATCCTCGACCTCATCGTCACGTTCCATCAGGTGAGATGGAGGTCTTTCTACCATTAGACCCAGTCGATTTAATATTGCATTAAATGAAGTTTACTTGTCTTCAGACCTCAATCACCATTTCCTGCGTCAGACACGTCAAGTGTCTTCAATGACTCGAGTGTCATGAATGAGAAGGATCCACCTTTTGTCCTGATCGAAGTAACATTGGGCCGGCCTCTAGTCCCAGAATGCATGCCACCGCTTATTTCCAGGTTACTCTGATTACTAATCTATACATAATTTCGACCAAAACCACTCCATGTAATTTGAAATGATAATGTTTTATGAATTACCAGCTGCCAACCCACATTAAGACCTATTTATACTTATACAATTTGGGTTGGTTTTACATCTGAAACGCATTTTGCTGAATGTGTGTAATACAAAATAAAACAAAATGTAGGCTATACTAATGAATTCTGGAAATAAGGACTATCTTTCAAAATAACACTCGCTTTCAAAATATCTAAAGTAGGTATCCAATCGAAATCTCTGTACAAAACAGTTTCATCTTTTCTATTTAATAGCTATGTCTATGATAAGTAGCACTCATTGAAAAAACTCTACTGATTATTATTAACTCGACAGTCTCGAATTATCAGCCATGCTTCATAGTATGGAAGAAGCAAATCCGCAGAAGCGCGAGTGCGTCGGGCGCGGCCAACTCGAAAGGGATTGGCAGACCACAGTACGCCTCGCTGCCAACGTGTTGAAGAGGGTTCCACATCATGGTGAGGTTGCACCAGCAAAGCTAGGATTTAGCGTAAATTGATCACACAACCATTCTATACCAAGAGTAAACGGGCTACAATTTTTTTGTACTAATGTGCGAAAAAACTGGAAGTAAACCGGTATTGTAGTCTTTTTATCTGTTTAGTTTTAGATGGGAATTCTAAACTTTGTTTTAATTTTTTTAAATAAACCGTTAGTACATTTTCTTTGGTCTTCCGCACTTCTCATGAGCATTCATACCCCGTCCACTGCAAGTGCGTTAAACAAATTTGAAAGTATCTTGCAGTTAGAATTAAAACACTTAAACAAAAACTAATTGCTCCCGAAATGTTGGTTTTAAAATTTTGTCTCATGTCTGAGATTTCCGTAGTCTTAGTGTTTAGTAGAGTATTTAAGATGCACACGTCGTGTTTTATACGCGCCTACGCTGCGCGTTTTCACTAATGCGCGTTGACGGCGCCATAAACGCGCATCACCTGCGCTTAGGCGTGACGCAGACGCGTTGTAGTGAATCGATTCAAACGCGCGCAAACGTCTCGTTGCAAGCAAGAAACTCAACTCTACTGAAGTTTACACTTAGATTTCATGTAGTTGCTTCATTACAAAACCCAATTGAAATTAAGAAACGAAACCAAAATTAAAAGTACATCTTATCAATTGCGCGCGTATAAAATACGCCGTGTTCATGGGCTCTTAGTCCTACAGCCAGAAAGGCAAGCATACGTGAAGGGAACCCTAGAATCACTCCTGCACTAAACCATTCTTGTAACGCAGTAAGTACTAAGATAAAAAAAATCAGCTTTAACAGAAGCCTGTCACTACTTAGTGTACTCTAGCTAAATTCGATATAAAGTGTTAACAAAACGGTGGTAGACAACCAATGATGGCACTTGTAAAGAATGTCCTCATGCTCGTGGTAGGAACAAAAGGATAAATATGTCCTCGTGCTCCTACTAGTGAACTGTCACCTATGTATAAATGTATTTGTCAATGCTAAAATTAGCAGAGATCGGAATTGAGGGACTTAATTTAGCTTAACGAAAGAAAGTCGTGAACATTCTCTTCTACAAATCCCAAGATCGTAGAAAATTCGTCGAAATCGAAGCTGACCAGATGTGTATATGCGTATTATTTATTGAAATTTGAGGACATTGGAAACAAATTATGATTGGTTTCCTATTGCAACAAATTGTTGTCTCAAAAAGTAATATTGTAGTTGTGTTTTTATAGATACCTACGTATTTAATAAATACTTTAGCCATTTAACTCACAAACATTTCACAACCTATGTTTTGGAATGTTTAGAAAATCAACAGTAAAAAAGACATTGATGACGAAATGGGTGTGTCCATAGGTACTAAGAAAGTGCATACTGTAAGTAAATTAACTAACTCCCTCAATCCGTTCTCTCATTAGTTAGGCTAACACTGCCCACGGCCTACTCGCATAACTGCATGTAAACATAGGCATTTGGGCGTACTTTTTTATATAATATCATGGGACGAACTAGTCGAACAAGCCTGATGATAAGCTAAACGCCTGTCCATACCAGTTGCTGTGCCACTCGGAGCTTTAAATCTCAATAATCAGGGGCGCTGCAACTACGCCCGTCACCCTGAGACATAAATTGACAAGTCCCGAGTGCCTGCAATTTCTCAAGCACCAGTACCCTTCAAAACCGGGACACAGTACATATGACATTACTGCTTGGCGGCAAAAATAAAATATAACTCGTATATAGAAATAATACTTACCTAGCTAGTTATTACAATGTTGACAATGTGCCTATTGGTACCATATTCCTAATTGTGATACCAATTAATACTTGCAGCTAGACAGTAGGTAATGGTAGATGCAAAGAAACAAAATTGAAAGGTTTAATTTTATATTACTTTAACTATGTAGATATCTCAGTACCACATTGTGTAACCATACACACAGCTACTTTTGGCAGGATGCAAAAGCGACTCGCCTTTCCGTTGGCGCGGGAGCCCTGACGTAAGCTAGGGCGGCCGGGCGGCGTCGTGGTGAATGTTCACTGATCCCACGGTGCCGACTCAACCGGCGAGAGGGAAACCCGGGGGGGGGGGGGGTTTAGTGCGTTAGGGCCTCCAGTCTGGAGTGAGAGTCCCCACATAACCCCTGAGTCTCCCTGGGCTCAGGGGTATCCATAAAGATTTCCCCCCCCCCCGTCAAAAAAAAAAGATGCAAAAGCGATGCTGTCGCTAATCGTCTACTTTACACACACGCGCGATTTTAAGCAGCGATGCAAACGATGAAAGCGCGACAGCATTGATACAAACGCGTGATTGTATCGCTACACTTGGGATTTTTAGCGATACGGATAATAGAATACTTAAGGAGGCCTGATACACGGGTAGGTATAGTAGGGACATGTAAAGAGAGGACTCGTTAGAGGAAAAAGGAATGGTCAAATCGGGAACAAAAGAAAAAGATGTGATCAAATTCTCACACTAATTTTAAAAAAGGAACGTCATTTGCTTAGTAAGTAGTTCTGAATTCCGAAAAAAGTTTTTATTTAACATTAAACCAGTGATTCCCAAAGTGGTCCAGGTGGACCCCCAGGGGTCCACGGGAGACTTGCTGGGGGTCTACGTAGGCGTGAACAAAAAATGGGGGTCCATAAGATGTTAATGGGGGTCCACGAAAAATTATCTGCTTTTGATAGTAAGGAGCAAAAATGTAAGCATAGTTTTATAAGGGCCTACCTACATTGTTTTAAGTACATAACTAAGCAGATAATATTTTAATAAGGCAAGCGACTTTTACTTGTCCAAACTTGCGTATTCGATATTACGTACAATTTCGTGTACGTACATGTACAGACTTGCAAAGCGCTATCCGCCCGACAATGCTTAATGCTTGTTCAGACATGAACTTGATCACCACTATAAATACTTGATGCCAAAGGCAAACTCATTCATTTGTTTCCGGAATTTCGAAAAAAAGGTTTGAGATAATTTATATCAGTGTTTGTTAGTGCCGGAGAAAAGTAAGTAAATACCTTTTTTTTGTTATAGTACTTATGTATTTTGTTTACGTGTACTAGTCGGTTGATCACAACTGCTTGTATAGATAGGTAACTTAGGAACTTGCAGATATTTTAATTGTCCTCTTTCGATTTGAAGACAAACACAGCACGTTTTATTCAATTGTTTTTTCGCGAGAGAAGCACTGCCTCTCTAAAAAGGCCGAATAAGCAATAGCAATTAATTTTTCAATTTTTCTTGCAAATAACTACTAATTTTATAAAACAGTATAAAAAAGTCACGTTTTAACAATGAAGGCGCAGACAAAAAATACGCAAATACATCATTGATTTGATGAAATGTTAGTTATCGTTTTTATGGACAATTTTGGGATTTCGACTTTTATTTTTTCCTACACAAATATGATCAGTATTCGATACTGAGTACACCCATTTTTATTTGTACTATTAAAAATTAGTGGTAATTTAGGTACTTTAAAATTGATACCGTTTTGTGAAAACGTCTGTATTTGTCTTAGCGGTTATTAGTTGGCCCCTTAACAAGCCGTAATTCTATTTCTGCGTGCTGACAAAGGCTGCGGTGTGATACCTATATTCAGAAAAAAACTTGGTTACTAAAACATTCTTTTTTACAGGTAAGGTAACTGATACGAAACATGGCTACAGCAAAGAAAAAATGTCGACAATATAGTGTCGATTATTTGAAATATGGTTTTGTTCCATCAGAGGCAGACAAACAATTGCCCATGTGCCTATTATGCAACAACGTTTTGAGCAATGACTCTATGAAACCATCAAAGCTCGAAGATCATCTAAAAAGGTGTCATACTGACAAAATAGGTAAAGATTTAAAATATTTTCAAACATTGAAGGAAAAATATGAAAAGAGACCCACCATGCACAGTATGTTCGCTTCAACATCTCAAAGTAACGATGACGGCTTGCGGGCATCTTACAATATCTCATTACTTATAGCAAAATCTGGAAAACCGCACACTATCGGAGAACAATTAATTTTACCCGCTGTTGAAGAGGTTTTAAAAACTGTTTTGCACAAATCTCCATTTGACGTACTAAAAAGAATTCCATTAAGTAACAATACTGTTCAAAGACGCATTGATGAAATGAGCTCTGATATCGAAAGTTTTTTGTGCGATCATCTGCAAAAAACTAATTTTTCTATACAACTGGACGAGTCAACGTTACCCGGTAATGATGCATTATTATTGGCATATGTCCGATTTATTATGGAGGAAGAAATTCACGAAGAATTGCTATTTGCCAGAACTTTAGAGACTGACACTAAAGGCGAATCAATATTTAATGTTCTGAGTAATTTTTTTACGGAAAAATCGATTCCATTTACAAACATTATTTCAGTGGCAACAGACGGAGCTCCTGCAATGGTCGGGCGATATCGTGGGTTTATAAGTCATCTCAAAAGAATTATACCAGGACTTACAGCTATTCATTGCGTAATCCACCGACAACATCTTGTGGCAAAACATTTAAGTGACAGGTTGAACCGATCTCTTCATTTTGTAATAAAAGCTGTCAACAAAATTAGAAGCAATGCATTGAATACGCGTTTATTTGCTCAATTGTGCGATGAAAATGATGAAGACTTCCAACGACTGCTCTTACATACTGAAGTACGCTGGTTGTCGAAAGGCGCATGCTTAACGAGATTTTACTCTGTTTTCGATTCCGTATTAGAGTTCCTAGAAAGTAGAGATCCAGATTTAAAAGAAAACTTGATCAAATTCAAAGCAGACATTGCGTATTTGACAGATTTGTTTAAAAAATTTAATGATATCAACTTGCAGTTACAAGGGGACAGCCTGAATTTAATAAAAACAAAGGGGATAATTTCGGCTTTTCTTGGGAAATTGAAATTTATGAAGCAAACAAAACATTAGTCGGCGGGAATTCTCTCAATTTCCAAACTTGTCGCAGGTAGAATGTATTGATGAGGATATCCATACCTACAGTCAACATTTAAGTGCCCTGCATGATGACTTTAAAACCAGGTTTGAAGATATGCTGACGATGGATATACCACCATGGATCATAAATCCATTTGAATTTGATGAAACGGAAGTGGCCAATGTTGTATTACAAGAGGAGCTGCTCGAGATAAGCACCAATGAGGAGCTGAATGTGAAATTTAGAAAAGGCTACCAAACATTTTGGCTGCAAGCAGAAATACCCGAAAAATATCCTGGACTGTGGGAAATCGCAAAGAAATTTTTAATAGCTTTTCCCTCGTCATACCTTGTCGAAAGGAGTTTTAGTGCCGTTACAAACCTCTTAACAAAAAAAGGAGCAAATTAAACATCACAGAGCGGGGGGATTTGCGATTATTGCTCACAAAAATAAAGCCAAACATTGATCGTTTGCTGACACTTCGTCAAATACATCCTTCCCATTAATTAAAATTATAACCTGAACCTATATTACCTTATTATTTTTTTCTTGTAATTCTATTCTTTTAATAAATAAAATGTTATAAAATGTACCATTTTTCGTTTTTATTTTACCTATCGGAATATAGGGACAGAACTCAAAAACGACACAATTTTTATTTTTTGGCGACTTTAAGAATGTGGTAGAAATGTAGCAGCAGGGGGTCCACAGACACAAGTAAAATTTTGAAAGTGGTCCACGAGAAAAATAAGTTTGGGAACTACTGCATTAAACTCACGTATTTATCAAATTGCCTTCGAGTGTATGAAACGGTAGCTGCGGAAAACAAGACATGCGACCTGTTTTTTGGCTTGTATTGCTTATTTCCATCCTCTAAGCACAATCGACATACAATTCACTATGCTATGATTACAAAAACTAATTCCGTTTCGTTCCACGTAAATAGAACCTAGCGCAGACACGACCTACTGTATAATATTATTGATATCTGTGATTGATCATCTTTGGCAGGCCTGCCGGACTTTTGTCTGTTCAACCGTCAACTGAGCGAGACACGTACGCGTGTTGAAGCAACCACTTCCTTCTGGTTAGAAGGAGCCATTTATGTCAATAATAACTTTCTCGTCGAGGACTACTTGAAGAATAATGATAAATACGAAGTAACTACATTACAGTGACAACCCATTTCTTGTACCACTGATCCAGTAAATGTCATGTAGCAGTGCACTATCGTGACCTTAAAAGGGTGGAAGACACTTTTTCTCGCCTTATTTTTCAACTCCATATGCATTAATCTAATGTGCACAATAACAAGATTCAGTGGTGCAACCCCGTTATCATAACTTAACTTTGTTCCACGCGTTTTTGACCACCCACATCTGGTAACCAGGAGTTGCTGTTAATGGCACATATGGTGCTCACTAACAGCGCGATCGAAGCCATAGTGCCCACAGATGTATGGTACGAAACAGATCCTTCCCTCCGCGCAGCACGCCATGCGCGGCACCTTCAGGACGTACCTCATGCTATAGAACTCTATTTACAGGTGAGAAAGAACCTATTTCAAAAATTTATGCGTCTTAATCAACTAAACTGCCAGGAGAAGGTGCAGAACACGACAAGTGTACAATACAGCACAACACAAGCATTTTCTTGTCCAAAATCATAAAGTACAATATATCATATGACATATAAAATCATAGCCCGATCTAAAATGGTCATTCTCGGACTAGTAGTATTCACTACCTTATTTCCGTGATAATTTTTATTATTTAAATATTCGATTTTTTTATCGTGCAATATTATTTAATATTCCAGTATTGTATCTGTATAATGGAAATTAGGTAGTGAATACTAGTCCGAGAATGACCTAAAAAGTTGCCTGCTGGTTTTCGAAAATTTTTTTCGACACAGGTTCAGTCGGGGATCGAACGTAGATGGCAACACAATGAAAACCGGTGTGCATGCCACTCAGCCACCGAGGTCGTCAGATTATTATTCGTTTAACACGAAATGCGTTGAGTAAACCAAAACTGTTAGTGGTAGTAGCCCCTAGAGTTTCTTGCTCATTCTTCTCAGGGGAAACTCAACCTTACGAATGAGCAGTAGAGTTTAATCAGAATGACGATTCCAAGTGTAATTTGCTTACCTATGAAATAAAGATTATTTCACTTTGACTTTGACTATTTTTTTTGAGATTTTTTGAGAGTTTTGCAAAGCGCGCTATAAAAGCCAAGCACAAATTTTATTTCCACTTCTACTTTGAAAATGTTGCCGTCTTGTCACAAGTTTTGCCGGTAAAATATAAATACAGAGAAAGAGTGCTGGAGTGACAGGGTCGAAGAGCAAAAATATTCAGCATGTCCAATTTTAGTCAAATTGCAACAAAGTGTAAATGACAACTGTTGACAAGAGAACAGCTTTTTCCATTTTCAACTAAATAAATTATGAAGCACTGAAATAGGACTTATTGTGGCTGGATATAAACTTGGATCCCCGCAAATATTGACTAAACTTGAATTATTAATTCCAATGACAAACGTAAATGACAAGGACAGTATGATGCCAACAATCTTTTGCTCTTTTTCTATACAAATTAGATGATTATCCCCGTGATCGACACGACAAGGCAAGTGATGGTGTTTCCGTGATATACCTTGTTTTTCAAACTATCCAAATCATATTTAAAAAACGACCATAATGTCGTGACGCATAAGTTATTAATTGATGATCTTCGTTCCTACCCAACAAACATTTTGGCTCTAAGAAGAGCTATTTTCAGCACTCATAGTGTTATTAAGGATATATAAGAGCT